GCAAGAAGAAGAAGAAATACTTCCTTTTTTGTGACACAACAAAGCTTTGGACGATAATCTTTGCTATAAGAAGCTATTGGCAAATCAAAGTCACCCAAATATGTCTTAATTCAAAGCAAAATGAGATAACACGCTTCCTTCAAAACCAGTTACAAGATTATCTCCAACAACACCTTCTGAACAAGGAACATCCGCATTGACACTTTATAAGAATACACAAGWCCTCTTTCTTACCTTGCAGGACRCTSRGCTTGAGTAATTCTCTTGATAGAACTGTTYGTAAGAAGATGATCTTCTTATGAGGTGGAGAGCTAAGACTTTGCTTCGCTATTTCAACACTTGTGTGTTGTCTTAGCTTGTACACAATACAATCCTTTCGTTRACCATCATTTCCCTATGRGTAGACAATTGATATCACATCGCAACCACAAAGGAAATCATCTCAAGTGTTAAGTCATTGACGATAATCACAGGGGCGGGGCTTAGACAAGTCTAACGTAAAACGATACGATGGTGCAATAGAAYCTATCCAACAACAACATGTATCACGACCTTTTCTTCACTCCTTATAGATGAAATACATGAATTTTCAACGCCAGTGTGTTTTGAAGGGATAAAGGCACTTGGTGCAAGTGTAACGGGGAAGAAGGGTGAAATAGGGGGTAGTATGGCAACATATGGTAGGTGATGCCTATGCTGACCGGTATGTGGTTATCTGAKGTACACTAAGGATCTGGTGTATGTTGWGTACCACATGATGAATCGATATAGGAGCGTCACACTTTAGCGCGGAACACAAAGGTYCCTCAACACAGCATACATCCGTTACATAATACATTAAATAAAAACAGCCAAACCCATTGATATGAAGATTAGTTATTCTGATATCGAAAAAGTATAAAAACACTCTTTCCTAAGTGATGCAAGAGTTATTTTGATATTGTGTGCACTTTTACTGGACCAACGCAGGGAACTAAGCTACAAGCATCTCCCACCTGCTAAGATTAGGTGCAAATTAAATTATCACWGCGAAAATGTGCGATATTCATCAAATATATCAAAGTTATCAAGAATACGCTGCATTATTATCGTCTAATATTTTGGTAGCTCTTGAGATTGAAGTTAATAAAGACACAATGTTATTCTTCTTTTAAAAGTCAAGAATCCTTATATCTGATAAAATGTTGATTATTTCATTATATTACCTAATTCAGTGGAGTGGAATACAATAAAACAAAACAATAAAAAATTGGCATGTAGTTAGCTATAGATCCCATTAAAGGCATCGAACCTGCGACAAGGTTGTAGAGTGCATTGAATCTTTTGTATTGCCTTTTATAAAACTCATTAATATTCATAAGGCAAAACACAATAGAAATCATAGCCCATGAAGAGAGTTGTATATTACATACAGATTTCTTGTTCATTTGCATAAACTTTTACTCTGATTTTCTCAGTCAGATTGAATTTTTTTTCAAAAGTTTCTTTAAAACCTGAGCTAATTTACCTTAACGTTTCATAAGTAATATACAATATTCGCGTGCGATCTGTATGAGGATTTAAAACAGCTCGCTTTCAGCTCGCTGTTTTAAATCCTCATACAGATCGCCCGCTCATATTGTATATATTACTTAGAGTTCACCAGTGGCATAGCGTRCGTCGAACAAGCCATTGTTACAATAAGCGAACTGTGTTAGTAAACTTGCAGTATAKAGTGATAAGAGTGTATTTATTGTGCGCGCTTTCAAAAAAATATAAATGTCAACAGATTGTACGTGATACCTRCATTGTCTCATATTATTTATATGCGCAAACATATACTCGCGATKTATATATAGCCTCTTATCCGTTCGTTTTCGTTACGKGACCACTTATACTGCGTTTTCGTAGCGTGCGTACTTAGCCCTCCGCCAACTGCAGYTCTTAGTTTGTRAGCRAAAACTAAGCTCTTAGAAGRCAATTACGTGAGTAAATGTACGGTTATCAAGATATTTGGTACAATGCTATTAAATAATAGTGCTGTTTGACCAATAAAAGGYGGTCGGTAAAGATTTTATAAAACGTTTTAGTCGCAGTTCTGTCATGAAATGTGTTCGCTGAAGAGAAGAAGATTGCGAAGAAGAGAAGCAATATTTCAAAGTTCACAAGCGTAAACGATGAAAACACTACTTGATTTCACTTCTACATCATGAGAGATTTTATATAAACTTACAGATATTTCACGTATTTCATTAATTAATGAATAGCGACGATTTTAAGCTAATATTAAGAATCTGTTTTCATAAGATAACGAAATATCCCTCGCGAATAACCACACAGAAATGCTTTGCATGACTTCACGGCCCGTCTTGACAGATCTTCGATTATGATGGATTGTAAAATGATTWCGCGGTATGCAGACTTAATTACATGGGCGGAGCATCGAGGGTTAGTGTGCGCATTTCCTGGGATGAGACAAGGCTAGATTGCACAGCGATTGTACCGACATTACTTTGGTGTGATGAAATATTCACAGAATGCAGAATTAGTRCCTTTTGTCAGGAGTCAGTACAATATATATCAAGTTCATCAAGGATATTATCCTAATTTTTTATGGAATAGCATTGTTATAGAGATTTCGATCTTAATCGTTGGTCTCGATCACGATGGGGGTCATTGCTTGAAGTGCCGCTGTTTCTGCTGTAATTTCGGTTACCTTTAGTGATTTCGTACTCATTGTTATCACATTGAAAAAAAAAATACTCGCTCGTGTTCCTTATCGAGCTTCAGTAGCTAAATATTAGATTGATTCGAGATTGCGCTCTGTCATTGCGCGCTTGTGATTAACTGTCACCGACAACCAGCATATCCTATATTGCTTCAAGAAAGCACGTGAGACGATATAGAACACAAGGTATATATCCCCGCCTATATCCAGTCTTGGCAAAGTACACGCAAAGAGCTCTTATTCTTTGTAAAAAGTTCCCTGTCCCCGTTCCCTCTTTATCCACTCCGTCATTGGGCAAAGGTGTACCCTCGAGAGAAGCAAGCTACAATTCTTCATGTTCTAGTGTTGAATGATGATTTATCTAATTCGGTCGAGGATCCGCCGAGTACGGAACCAAGTACTTTAATATCTCCATTCATTCCAACATCAAAGCAATATCTACTACCCTGAATATTTATGTACACTCTCTTACCATCCCGTCACATCAAGCGTTGTTTTGTGGGGGAAGGGGAGTCGAGTAAAAATTTCATGTATCTACAGTTTTTATACAATGAAACTTTTTGAACGCGGGAAATGTAAGCATAAAGACGTTGATCATCGTGTATCAGAAACACTGAAGTGAACGGTACTTACTAGTAATCTTGTTATGGGTTGATTAGAAGGGAGGAGTTTCAAACCACATGTACCCCCATGAAGACCACACCCAACACGTACAATCATCAACCACATAAAATTAGAATTTTTTTGTGAAATAGACTTCAAAATAAACTGCTTTCTTTTGCGTCTATTTGAGCATCCATTGAGTTAGCGTACAATCGGGCATGCGGCCTAGGGACATTTACTCTAGCTCCCCTCCGCACGGTGACATTTTAAGTAATGATTTGCTAAAAAAGCAGGCAGATTAAAATCCCTCAGAGGTACTGTTTTGAAAAGAGTAAAGCGACTAACTACTTTTGGATGAACTTGTTTAATTATTTGCACTATCTGCACTGATAATAACATATTTTATAACTAATTATTCCTATCTGTTGTTCCCTGTGTTATCATCGGACGCGGGGAGACTGAAAACGACATGCATTGACTTCCGCTGGACGTCAGAAATGCAGGCTCTGGGCACGAGGTTGGTGGACACTGACAGTAAGATCACAGTACACTAGCCATTGTTTAAGTATTTTACGGTAAACTTCAATTTAAATAAATAAGACATCTTGTGAGGACAATAAGATGTCTAGTGACCACATATCATGTAGTCAAGCAGTATTTTATAACCATWGCAACATCATCATCAACAACAACAATATCAACAACAATATCAGCAACAACAATATCAACAACAATAAAGGCAGACTAGCTGCTCAATACACGAATTGTAATCCTAGCTTTTCTTCAACTGTTTCAGTGCTGTATAACACAACGTTCTGTGAAACGCAACGTTCAGTGTAACGCTGCAGCTTTCAATGCAACGCAACTTTCCGTGTAACGCAACCTTGAGCGTTATGTGACAATAGCATGACGACTTCTAGCCGTTCCAAGGTAGACGGAAATCAGTGGACGGCAGAGGKATACAATGCGCTGCATCGAAATCCATCAGATATTGAAGCACCTGTGAAACAGAGGAAAAGATTACAAGAAGGAATCTTTAACTATCAGATGGCTATAAGCACTGGAAGGGAATCTCTCAAAAAAGAAATAAGAAAAGTTTTTCTTCTCGCTTAGATGAAGTTTAAATTAAAAAAAAGTATGATGATTGCAAAAATAAGAGATAATTTCATTCAGCGTGTTTACTTACAAGAAACATAAGAACATGGATCTTTTTTTCCGGCGAAAGATTGTGACCTGTTGTATCAAAAGAATAGAAAAGTTAAAGTCATTATACTCAACCCGTGAAACACTAATTAATAAAGCCTCAACCCGTGAAACACTAGTAAATTATACGTCAATCCGTGAAGCACTAATTTTCAGTGCGTAGTATTCTGTTTGACGACACAAACCCTGCGCGTACTACAAACTTTATTTTGTTGCTGTCATTATTCATTCCAGTCAATTACGTGCCACGGCATTGAGGGAAAGATTTTTTCGTCCAACGAATCAGAAACTCAAAAATCACCTACCTATCTGACTGGGGTAGTTGTTACCGTATTCCGCTATGTGATTTTTCACGATATCATTGCACTCTGACACGTCCACGCCCATACTGTTCCATAGACCCACTGAAAAATATAACTGGTTATTCAGCGATGTGTACTGCTGTTGATAACTGTTTTTGTTGTCCATTTAATTCAGTCATCCATTCATTTATTCATTTCAATATTTCATTCATTCATCCGTTCATCCATTTACAGCAGCTGCAAAAACTACTCACGTTTTACGCTTTGATCAGGACATGCCAAATATTCATTTAGTAAATCAAGACTCTCATCGTTGAACAATTTAGGATACCTGAAAAAAAGAACAGTTAAGACTTCCTACAATACATCCCATATGCTTACATATACAAATAATGACAGAACAGGCCATGTTTAACGATTCTCCTGGTTCCCTTTTCACAGCATTTGAGGGCCTCATTGTTTGTAGTTCTAACCTTTGCCTAAGGATCTTGATAAGTAGATTGTTGCCTAAGTTTGTGCCTACATTTCCTTCCCTGAAACAAAACAAAAAAGGTTAGAATTATTGAATAAAATTGAATAAAATGAACAATGAGATTTGATACGTTACTATTAGGATTTTTAGTGTAAAAATCAATGGGTGAAACTATGAGTTTGATGGTGAAATTTGTCTACAAAAAGCAGATATTTATTTTCCAAAACTATTATCTTAAGCAGATAATTGCCTTCACAATAATATTTCATGTAATTAGTATAAGTAACTCATTTTTTAGGTTATTATTCCAAATGTAAATTAATGTATAGATTGAGGGCCACAAGTTGATTAGTGCTTTGCACTATTAAGTGCTACCCTCACTAAATAAAGTTGTTATTATTTATTATTATTACTCAATTTAGAAAACTGGGACTGGAACCCTTGCTTCAATGCTCCCATAATTGGCAAACTACRGTTATAACTCCACACAATTTATGTCATGACTCTACAAATTGACTACAACTCACTCTATTGTGATGATTTCATCTCTCATTCTTCTTATCAGCAAAATAGGACCAGGATATCTCAAATAATCAAAGAGAAAAACAGATGCTTTATGTGACAATAGCTTTGGACCCCTTTCTGTTCATTGCAAGGCTTCATCTTGAGGACAAAGCAATAGATCCTAGCTCTCAAGAGAGCAAAAATTTGTCTTGTTCCCAGATGAAGTTTTTTTGATGTCACATCTCCATATCCTAGAGGTCTATGGCAAAGTGATATGCGATGCCATACAATGTGTTTAATTATACAACAGAGTATAGTTTATAACCATCATGGCCATTCTAATCAAGAAGATTATGCCCTTTTTGTTCACCCAATCATACTTACTTGCAAACAAACTTAGCATTATCCAAATTGAAATACTCTTTGACAACAGCAGTAACAAAGCCACCTAGAATTACAAAACCAAAAGCCATAATATTTTGGTCTTCTTAAAATGTTCATCAATGCTAATCACAAGGGTTTTAATGTTCATCTTTTTAGAAAATAAAGATATTAATTAAATGATGAGACAGCAGAAAATATTATTGGTATTTTGGCATTGAACATTATAATCTATCCGTCTGGTTTTTGGGTCATTTTTGTCACAAAAGTCATTTCAAGCATTTCTTACGTGCAGCTTCAGGCATTTTACTTTGAGCCAGAGGAACGACATCATCAAAAGTTGCATCAAGCACCTATAAAAACAATTTGCATGAATGTAAAGTATATATTTCATTCATTAATTCAATAACCAAGTTTTAAAGGTTTTCCACTTACTAATCCGCCAAGCTTGGGATACGTCATGCCAGCCCAAGTTGCTGTATATCCACCTAAAGTTAGAGAACAGATTTAGTACTGCAGTCTTGTAGYGACATGCTMTTGAATAGTAATCCCCTTCGCAGGTATCTCCCTCCATARCTCTAAAGRAAGCCCACCMATAGGCCTRTCCACACACACAGGTGGCTGCACAGGAGGCTACAATGCTTTATATGACTTGTGCTGCTATTCAACATTATGCTTTATATTGCTTACCTATAGACCATGCATAGAGTACTATATCTTCTAGTTTAAATCCAAGTTCATTTGTAGCATACTGCACAACTACATCAATTGCATTTCTCTCTGATTCAGGAAATGGAAGTCCCTGGAAAACACATAGAGACAATTACAGTAACAAACTAAATAATAAATAATACAATGATATTTCACAAATTCTGTTCAAAACATATGAAAATAATAGGAATATTTCCATTTACTGTGCTTTGGACAACAAACACAGCATGAAATAGTAACTTTAAGCTTGCTTAAATGTTGCTTAAAGTAGACTTAAAGAACAGCTTTAAGCATCTTTAARCCACATTTAAACTTGCGTAAAGATGAGAATTGATACGTACATGTTATCATTATAATTATAGTTAATTCTAACTTCAATAATAATAATGAAAAACATGAATATATAATATTGCTGGCTTTAAATCATTCTCTAGATATCCAGAAGACAAGCGTCAAAGACCATGTTGGTGGTGGTAAGTACAGGAGATAATAATGAGTTATATTTTATCCGCGACTGTCACAATGACGCAAGGTCAAAAGCAGCAAATATATGAGTTGCATGATGGAATAATATTTTGACTCTTTGATATTGTGAAAATTAGATTGTGAAATGAAGAAATAAGACTGAGTGAGGATAATTCAGTTTTCTTCTAGCTACTTACAGAGCTACCAGCAAAGCCAGGATGATTCCAACCAAGAACAGAATATCCAGCTACAATAAGCACGACAAAGTTTTGGTTTAGTTTACRTTTTTGTGGTAACAAAATTCATCTTAATATACAGGGATTCATGGAGTCATATTTTCTGAGATTTCTAGCCCTGGTCCATTGGAACTCTTCCACTCAACACTTGGGCCTTCATGTCAAACATTTAGAATAAATATTTACCTTTCAGAGGTGTTGACACCAGACCCAATTCATAGAATCCTGCATTACCTTCACATACAATCACCTGATGTACAAAAAAAGCAAAACATATCATAAATGTGGTAATATAAGACCATTATTTTGTGTCCTTGAAAAGGAACTTCATTGTATAGTCTGTCATAGCACTTACCAATGTGTTTCCTTTATGCACCTCTTCAAAGTATTGGGACCGTTTATCAAAGAACATGGAATCAATTTCATTACCATCTGCGGCAACAAGTTTAGCTCTTTTGCCTCCCTGATAAAAGCAATAATAGCAAAAATATATTGTATATTTCATGCAAAAAATGTATGAGAACTTGTAATAATTATTCGTAGGACATTTAGATGGATAATATTGACATGAATGTACAGTAGTGTTAATCTCACTGGAAAATGTTTTAAAAATATTCATTAACATGAAAAACTTTTTTCCATATAGGAATTACCTTTTCCAGGTAAATTGTACGTCCAGACAGAAGAGGTTCGGCTATTGAATCACCAAGAAAGATTATGAATTAAAAAAATTCATAAAATTTTGTAATGAAAGAACACAGACCAATCAATGATCCATAAAAATTCATACACACAGAATTACAAATTAAAGCTACGAACAGTTAGAAACCATATCTCCAGTAAGAATTACCTAATCCTGTTTGTAATAATCCAACAGAACCTGGRAACATGAGTGGTCTTCCAAGACCATGGGCAAACATGTATCTGAGAGACAATAATATACCTTGCTTCCATTAATATTTTCTGGACTTGGAAAATTAAAATCATTTTCACTATAATACCTGATTGTAGTGCAAGGCATTGCAGCTATTTTTGACAGGATGCTGCTGTGTCTAACACGAGTTGTTGTGGTAGTTTCAAGGTACTTTTTGCTTTCTTCACTACAATAATCAGTTGAACAGAACATGTTGAGTGGTTCAATAAATTGTATTCAATATTATCATACAGAATTTCACAAGCAACTGTACCTCCTGCCTGTTTCATTCCATGTGTAATCCGCTGGCCAATCATAATAATCAAAATCAAACATCCTYAGCTTTTTCTGAAAAGAAATATGAAAACATGAATGGATGACTAAATGACACAAGGAAAGGAAATTAAAAGAAGCAAATGAATACTAGATGAATAAAGAATAAATGAGAGCATACCACTGAATATACCAAAAAAAAGCAAAAACAAAACAACAAAACAAAATGAACACACACCTTATTTGCTTCAATATTGGATGCCTTAGTTGCAGCAAGAATATCTAAAAATCCCCGGTAATCTGGATTATTAAAGCGCCCCAGTCCTAAAAATGCATTAATCATTATTATGAAAATGATAATACAATATCTTTATAATACTCAATGGGTCAGGAATATGCTGTGTCAATCATTTACTAGATAAGAGATGTACCTCTGATGCAATAAGCTCCAATGAGTACAACACTCAAATATCCAATAAACTTAGATAAATAGACTATACCRCCATGAGAGAAAAAACCTGCCAAAAAAACAAGTAGAATTTATGACTAATGGACTCTCTATACAAAAATAATCATAAAAGAAATATAAAATGAACAYTTATGCCTCTCAGTGTTCTCGGATACAAATKTTGTGGGATATTGAGAGCTTTTGAGAAATGATGGAAGAGCTAACTGTGCTTGCAGATGCTCCAAGTGTTACTGGCTTGGGATCTCCTACCATGTTTTAATATATCAAAAAAAGAGAGACACATGCACCTGTTTTATAWCTCTTGAATAAAAGAATAACAAGGAAATAAGCAATGTTAGTTATAATATCTCTAGTATTTTCATGATATYATTACCTTTCCTATACATGTAGAAAGCTAACGCAGGAGATGCGTAGTAGCAGATGGACCAGGCATATGACAGCTACAAACAACAGATATTTTAAAATTATTTGCATAGTAGCTAGCTATTACGTTATGCGAATTCTAAAATTGGGGTGGAAATCCACCCATGGCTTCTCCGTATTTTTGCGCAAAAATCTATGTTACTTACAGCTCTTATTATTCCGTCACCACACTGTTCAAGTCCGTTAGGCTCGTAAGCTCTGCTTTTGATCTACAGACAGAACAAAATATCCGTTACAAAAAAAAAGCAACACAAAAACAAAAAAACAGAAAGCAAGGAATTAGRCATCAACTTYCCGGTTCAATTTTTGAAGATATTGAACAAAATACGACTTGAAAACCTCTCAGAAAAGATAAGGATTTTAACATAGCATTTATCGTTGCTTAATCGGGCTTACCCTTGTTTCTTTTTGGATATAAATGCGATAAAGACGGGGTGCCAGAGCACACCTTACAATGTCCGCCATCTTGTTGCTATTACACAGGAACCCCAAAATATAATGTAATATTCAGGCCTTGAAACTATATAAAGTACTTYAGAATAACAACTAAATAACAACAATTCTATTATTGATCTATATCTATGCCCATAGTTGCTGTTACTTTTTGTGACTTTAGTTTGTTAGATTTTTGTTTTTTTTTCTGACGTGGGATTCCTGTATTTAGTTCCCAGTCCTCTTTAATGAAACATGCTGCGGAKATGCTGAAATTTACTTTGAACGATTTGTAAAAATGTCATCTTTTTGCGTCAGAATCTCACGGAGTCCGTTCCGTGGTGTATCCAAACTAATAAAGAGACATCCTCGGACTTGTATGCCTCATAGAGTATGTTCTACAGACAGCGTTCCGCCGCTAGACCAACCACTATCAAACCTTCMCGAACCGCCAACAGGAGCAGTRGARCACGTTCAATGGACACGRGATCACCATGAAACCCATGTAACAACCCTAGAAAACGGCATCAAAGTCGCTTCTGAGGAATCTTTTGGRCAGTTTTCTACCGTAGGAGGTAAATGATTAGAATAAAATGTGTGAATTTAACGAATATTAGTCTGAATTGGTTTCCTGGAATGGTTCCAGGATGTGATTTCTTATATTAAACACATCACATGTTTGTTTATGTTGCAGTTGTAATTGATGCAGGATCCAGATATGAAGTRGACTTCCCTGCAGGAATAACTCATGTCTTAGAAAAGTTAGCTTTCCAGGTACAATGACATGCTTTTCCTGGAATCATGTGTTCA